AGCATCGGAGTGACCCATTGCAGCAGCTATAGGACCGTTTGAATGCGAATAGGTTGCCGAAAGCTCAGTAATTGTAATTGGACCTTGTGTTCGAGTTTGAGAGATTCAACAGACTTGGCTGTTAGTCTGTTCACCGAGCTTGGCAGTTGGATCGCAAACGTTTCACTACTAATCTGGTCGTAATCTCCCCATCACGACTGCTACTTTGACGAAAGCGGGGATGAGAACCTCGTGGAGTTAATGCAATGGCTTTTCGCCTGGTGGATTTCCGGCGCCACTAGCACTAGGGGAGCGATAAGTCCATACGGGATGGCCAATTACTAAGTTCCGGGTCAGCAGACAGATCTGTTTCTACTGGGTGCGAGCCGCGACCAGTTGTAGTTGTTGTTGTTGTTGCTGCTGCATCTCGTGATGGTGGCGGTGGTATTGTTATGTAGACGCGTCCTGAGAAATCACCGTACTGTTATATTATTTTTCGCCGCACACATCCTACCTAGAAACTTATATGAGAGCACCCTGGCATTTTGTGGACAGTCGAGCGCTGTCGGTGATTGGGGCTTAATTTCTGTGTGGATACAGTGACTAGAGATTGTGTTTCAAGCGCCCATTGATTTCATCCAATAACCCAGACATCCCTGGGTCAAAGTTGCCAATAAAATCCCGGATCCATTAGGACATACAGCAACAGGTACAAGAAATATGCTCCTAGCAACTGCTTTTGGTGTACCGTATCCGCATTCCATAATCCAGTTGTTGAGAGTATAGCAGATGATCGAGTGTTGGAGGAGAAAACCAGGAATCGGTTTTCCTTATTGCCTTACTGGTCCCAAGGACAACGCCGAATGCAGCTTCTGGTAGACCTGGTTCTCTGACAATGTTCGGAAGAGGGACAGTTTGAAGACTGATATTATCTATGCCTACCTAACTATCTATCCAACACTATCTTTGTACCAACGGAGTAGCCAGGTTTAATGAAAAAGCGGTGTTCTGCCGGCTGCTCACACTACAGACATGTGAACACTACAACGTGTGAACCAGAAGCATGTCGGACTACGCAAGTTGCAGTGACGAATAAGAGAACATAACACACCTCAATATTAAGGCTAGAAGACGTTGGTTCATCGGGAGCATACACTTAATCACGAATTACTCTTTTGTAGCATATAAGGGGAACTCATTAGGCTGGGTTGTTAGGTTTTCAGTGCCCTGATTAACTGTCCATTTCCTCGGACACAGAGTTTCCTAGCAATTTAGCAGATGAATCGTCAATGCTTAACACTGGCGCGTCATTAATTAGGGTTTCAAGACGCCATTCAGTTGCGAAACTAGCCTAGTTCTTATCGTACCT